TTCCACAGTCGCTCAACTTCAATTTGCAAGTCTCGGTACTTTGTGATTTTTTCTTGCTGCTTATCTTCAATCCGTGCAAAACCAGTTGTTGTTGTTGTTGTTGTTGTTGTTGTTATTATTATTGTTATTATTATTATTATTATCCGTCTCATAGTCAGCCAGATAGTCAGACTGGATTTGTCATTTCTGATGCCTTTTCTTTCGCTGATAATTTCCTAAACCACACTGTCTTCCACATCCTAGTTCTCTCTGGTTAATTACAACTCCCAGACTCCCAATGAGAATCCCAATGAGCAAGACTCATAATTCAGTACATTGGAGGCTGCCAAGCTAGGACACATTTCTTCAAAGAAAGTGTGTTCCATTTTGTCTTTTCTGTAGTCTCCAGCAATGATGCAACCTCATGAGGTGCAAGTGACCAGAATTTTATTCAAGTATTCAAAATATGGCCATTATCTAAAACCAACTCTGAGGGAAAGGAAGAAAAAAACAGTCCCAGGTGTTTCTGCCTCCTCAGTTATTAGACATCAAAGATGGATGGGATGCAACTTCTTTCTTTCCCTCCCACAATGGCTTTCCTAGGAGATGACCTTTATATGATGTTATCATCATGCCCATATGAGGGGTTTCTGAGAAGAGGCACACAACTCACCTCCTAAATCTGTGTTTTATTAATGGAGTGACATCAAACCTTTTTTTGAAATGTTACAGATTGGAAGATCTTCGGCTGGCTTGCATAAGCCCCTGTGGGCGTGTTACCAACTCTGCGACTGATAAATAAACAATACACTTGCTATGTAAAGATTAACATACTCAGCATCATGACCTAAATAACAGAACTTTGCTCTAAATTATTAAATCCTCCATATTCTGAACATAGAGTGTTTTTAGTTTTGGTTTTCAAAAGAAAAAGTTTTTAGTCCTCAATGGAACTAAAGCCTAAAAGTTTCATTCAAGCATACAGAGAGATAAATCAATGCCATAATTGTGCCTAATGAAACATTATACAAATGGTTGCTACCATTGTTTAGAATCCAAATGGGATTTTAAAGGAATGGATAAGAATTCAGTCTTTTCTTCCACAATGACAATCATTAGCAACTTTTTAAATTATGCAAAAGATGTTTTAAAGTTGTACACTTTATGTATTCAAACAGTTTATATAGCTATCCAATCAGCAAGTGATTTAGGGCAGCACACACAAATGGAAATCACATATAATAACTGCAAGAGAAGATGCAGCCAGAGCTAGGGGGTGGAGCTAAATGGCAGCCTAGAGTAGTTACGTTCCCATAAATGGTCTAAGTCCAACCCTTCTTGAATTCCGCTGACCCTTATTTGGTGTCAATTTAGTGTTGAACTTTTAGTTGACTAGATTCTTACGTATAGGCTTGAACAATACAGCTTCTGAACTGCAACTGAATCGGGTGAAATCCAGCAGGTTCTGACAAGTTCTGGAGAACCGGTAGCGGAAATTTTGAGCAGTTCGTAGAACCGGCAAATACCACCTCTGGTTGGCCCCAGGAGTGGGGAAGGAATGAGGATTTTGCAGTATCCTTCCCCTGCCATGCCCACCAAGCCACACCATGCCCACGAAGCCACGCCCACAGAACCGGTAGTGAAAAAAATTGGATTTCACCACTGAACTGAATGTATGCTCCAGATACTTTGCATCTGGCAATGGCAAAACATACATTAAAACTAATAAAGCATATCATGGACAACTTCATCCAATCAAGAACAATGCAGATGGGTACAAAATCTCCAGATTTAGTGCCTAGAGAAAATTTGGGTTTTAAAAGCCTCTGATAGACAACAGAATCAGGGCCATCCACATTTCAAACTGTTTCATATGGCAGGCATGACAACAGAGAAGCACTTCTCTTGGATCCCACTAGATGAAATTGTTTAAGTGATGGGTTCTAGGGAGAGATATAGCATTATAAGCAGAATAAAAATATTGTAAAGAAATAATATTCAGGAAATTTTCACTTTTCTGATATGCTTGCTCTAAAGAACATTTTGCAAAGTGTTTTAAATATTTAAATAATATCTTTACATACAGGTAATTGCATAATTATTCTTCTAAAAATGTTTTTACAGAGTTAGGATGTGAAGCTAACAAACCTATAGACCTGTTTTAGCATTCATTTAAATTAGTATAAAAAAACAGCGCCAAAAAATGGAGCCTTTTCACCCACGTAAAATAAACCAGAGCACAGAAATATATTCATATCTGTTTTTTCCTCTGCACACACATTTTGAAACTACAATTTTTCCTTTGGTGCATGTTCAAGTCCTCAAAGTGTGGAACTACAGCAGTGTAAACCCCTGAGTTTTAAAGTGTCTTCTTGATGAAGGCCATGTAGGCAGCTGGGATGAGCTAGAAAACATAGAAGGCAGCATAAAAGAATAAAATTATACAACATCCAATATACCCCAAAGTGCTGGGGAAACAAAATTAAAGTTCCCCATACTGAATCTTTATGAAAACACCAGTCCTGGTGTTGCTGTTTATCTTTTCCTCAGCATCTGTTTGATTAGCTAGTTTACAATTGGGCAATTTGTCCCCCACTCCCAATTCCAAGAACCATTTTTCCAATCCAAATCCCTTCCCAAGGTAGCAAGCCAAAATTGGTAGATCTTTTAAAGATGTATGAGAGGAAGGTAGAAAACCAACAGATACATTACCCATTTCACTTTTTAATAACAATTTCATAACCACCACTACAATCAACACAAAACAAGTTTACTTTTCCCAGTTTGGAAGAAGATCTGTATGTCATCCTTTTGTTGTTGTTAGTTGCGAAGTCATGTCCAACCCATCATGACCCCATGGACAATGTTCCTCCAGGCCTTCCTGTCCCCTACCATCCTCTGGAGTCCACTTAAGCTCATGCCTACTGCTTCAATTACTCCATCCAGCCACCTCATTCTCTGTCGTCCTCTTCTTCTTTTGCCCTCAATATTTCCCAGCATTAGGCTCTTTTCCAGTGAGTCCTTCCTTCTCATTAGGTGGCCAAAATATTTGAATTTTATCTTCAGGATCTGACCTTCTAAAGAGCAGTCAGGGTTGATCTCCTCTAGGACTGACTGGTATGATTGCCTTGCAATCCAAGGGACTCGCAGGAGTCTTCTCCAGCACCATAGTTCAAAGGCCTCGATTCTTTGGCACTCAGCCTTCCTTATGATCCAACTTTCACAGCCATACATTGCAATTGGGAAAACCATAGCCTTGACTATACGCACTTTTGTTGGCAGGGTGATGTCTTTGCTTTTTAGTATGTTGTCTAGATTTGCCATGTTGTCTAGATTGTCTAGATTTCCTCCCCAGGAGCAAGCGTCTTTTAATTTCTTGACTGAAGTCCCCATCTGCGGTGATCTTGGAGCCCAGGAAAATAAAATCTGTTACTACCTCCATTTCTTCCCCATCTATTTGCCAGGAATTGAGAGATCCCTCAAATCCCCTCAAAGAAGTTTGACCTATTAGCTACAACCAGTCCAATGGTGCCATGAGTCCTGGGATTCCAGGCAGAATATAAAGGCAAAGCATTGCATCCTAGGAAACATTCTTACCCATTCTTAAGGTAGGATTTGGGAAGTGGATGTGGTTCTCCAGTCTCAGCATGCCACATAAAAGGCTACTTGATCAGTGGCCACATGTTCCCAACAATCTAAGCATTTCATATTGTTGAAGGAAGGGAAACTTGATTCTTTGAAATGGAAATGCCAAGGTTTGGCTCTGGAACCTTCTGCTGATATGTCACTCTCATTCCAGACCAGTAGCCTAAGGCTTCATAGCACTGCTTGAATAAATTCAGGCAGGGAGGCTGCTGGGTAGGAAAATGGTTTGCATATGGGAAAAACAGGAGAGGGCTCTTTCTTCCACCTAGACCTCCTGAATGAATGGTGGACTAATAATATAATCAATAAATCTATACTCCCCCCCCCCACAGTATTAAACAAAAAGATTTGGCTGAAAAAACTTTGTTCAGCAGGAAAGCAGACACATTAACAGTGCAAAGCACAGAACATAGAATAATAGGGTTGGAAGAGACCTTGGAGGTCTTCTAGCAGGAAACCCTATATACCATTTCAGATAAGTAGCTGTCCAGTCTCTTCCTAAAAAGCCTCCTTCTTGAAAGCAATCTGCAAGGAGACGGTTTAGGGTGAAAGTGGTGCCTAACTGGTGTAATCTATTCTTTTTTGCACTTTTGAAATCTGCTTTAGTTATGAAATGCCTTGGGCCAGGACTGAAAAGAACCAAGAAATGTTCAACAAAGAATAGTAAGTGTATTCTAAATATTGGAGGAGAGTCAGACAGAATCAAATTCTAATGCAAATCTTTGCTGGGATGGTTCTACAAAAATTATCATGCCAGTTCTTGCTGCAGTTATTGTTGGTTTGATCAGTTTCTGAACACAATTCAATTCAAAGGATTGATCAAACACCCCTCCCCCCCCAAAAAAAACCCCAGTTTTTTGAAGAACCTCATGATGAGTGTGAGGATTAGCTTCCAAGACCTTGTTCCTAGCCCAGCATCTGAAATCACATGGTTGAAAGCAGGAGACATGACCTTCACTGCTATCTAAAATTCTTTTTTTCCCATGGAATATGATACTTAATTTCAACATCAAATATTTTTTTTTTCTAATTGGCACCTTTTAAGGGGAGAATTTAGGTTGCCAAATTATTTTATTGTTCAACTATGGCATATTATATATTCTGATAGTTGTTGTTTATTATTAATACGCCATCCATGGTTGCAATCCTTGTTGGTGCTGCCACAAAAACCCAAGGGCCACAGCTGAGACAATTTCCCCTTCACATCCCTCTGGGTGATACAATCCAGGCTTCAGCATTCCTGTTTTACTCATTCACATGGCTTACCCCTCCATGTATGCATCAGTGCATGTTGACGAGCTTACAGAGATGCATAAAGATGTGATTTTGTATATATGTATTATTATATTCGGGTATAAAAACAGCTCAGAATGGAAGGGGCAGCATCAACAAGAAAAGTGAAGAACACCTCTGTGATTTGCTGATACAACATGGCTTCAGGTAAGCTTCTGAATATCAATAGGGAAGTTACTACTTTTTAATGGATCGGAGAACTGGAATCTTTAATAGCTATAAGACATCCATTCAGTGGGTCCAGCCTTTATAGTGAAAAAAATGTTGTTATTAATTTTCTATGCAATATATATCATTAAGCAAAATATAGGAAGCAGTTCTGGTTGTTATTAAATTTGGGAACTAAAAGGTGTGTTTATTTTTTTCTTTACTGAAATTTTAAAATTTTATACTGGTGAGTATAAAACTGAAGCAACAGTGAGACCCAATTCTCCCAAGGGAGAAACAAAACATAAAGAGAGAATGCCACTAATTGTGGTTTACTCGGCACAAACAGGTATCTGAAAAAATGCTCAACTAACAAATAGAGAAAACAAGAACTGCATGTATGTGTGAAACTGCTGCAACGGCAACTTGTAAAGCCTCCTATTTATCAACTCACCTAGAAGCATTGTGATGGTCAGTTTGAAGAGAAAGAGGGGGTGGATGTTCAAATCATGCATCCTGTATGGTTGTGTATAGCAGTGCTTCTGTTTTACATGGGTTCCTATTTGCTCCTGCCACCCAGAAACCCAACTGATACAATCCTCAACTGAAGCATCAGCAGAGATGGAATCTTTGTACATGTGCATCTTTTGCATGTGTTAAGTTTCCAGTCCAGTGGTAGGTTGCCCCCGGTTTGGTCCGGTTCTATAGAACCAGTAGTAAAACCGGTGGAAGGCTCCACCCACCCACCACGATGTCATCACCGGTGATCTGCGCATACACAGAAGTTTCTGCGCATGCACAGAAGAGCGACATGCGCGCTCCCATTGCAAACCGGTAGTAAAGGTAAGTGGAACCCACCCCTGTTCCAGTCATGAAAAGAACTTGCACTTAGTGCTTCATTATGCATTAGAGCGGAGGACTTACCAATATGTCATCTTTATTTAAGAAGCCAACCTCTTTCATCTTCCTCTGCAGGGACCAGTAGACCGTCCTCTTTGCTTACCATTGGCTTGCTTATCTTGGCTCTGCAATGGACAGACGGAGGAGCCTTCCCCACAATACCACTCTCCAGTCTGTTTACCAATGCTGTACTAAGAGCACAGCATCTTCATCAGCTCGCAACAAATACCTACAAGGAATTTGTGAGTAGCGGTCCATCTTTTAGGTCAGCTAAACTTTTAGGTTGCATCATCATTCCTGGTAATAGCAAGCTAGAGTGTTCAGCAGTTTGGAAGCAGAACAGATTCATCTAAAAGTAACATGGGGAATTCTCTAGAGTCACAGGATATATTAAAGTGTAAAAGAAGAGGTATCCAAAGTATGACAAGTAGCACTTTAATTTTTAAAATGATATGGAAAAGTGTTTTTTTCCCTCACATGTTTTATATGTTCTCAAATCTTCCATTACCATATCAAGTTAGAGTTGCCACAAACCAGAACATTTTTAGATAAGGCTCTCTTTTGAAATATTTACTATCTGCTTACTCTCCCAAGTAATATTAGTGTTTCATTGCTTCTGATTTAATGTCTTTGCTCAGTTAGTAAATTTTTAGATAATGTTATTCAAGACTCTGTACACTCTCACCGTTTCTATTTCTTTGTAAATGGCAACATTTCATGGGACTTATAAAGGAGCGTTCCTATATCCCAGAAGAGCAGCGATACTCCATGAAGAATTCTCAGACTGTATATTGTTATTCTGACACTATCCCTTCACCCATGAGGAAAGAGGAAACTCAACAAAAAACAGTAAGCCAACTCCTATCATAATATATTCCATAGAAGAATTATTTTGGTGCCCCAAATATATAATCTTGTGTTGCCCATCTGAAAACTTCCCACTTTCACAAAGTTTCCAAGACGTGTTAACAAAGAGCAATAAGTGTATTCTAAACATTGGAGGAGAGTCAGACAGCTAGTCAGACACCCTGGTAAAAGCAAAGGGGGACTAGAGGCATGGTCAATCATCTGAAGGGCTGCCAGGTTCTCATTTCTATGTTACAGGATCTGATTCCTTAGAGGACAGAAACTATACATTAGAACATTAGAAACTATACTTTATCACATTAGCAAATTTCAAATATCTTTGGCCAAGATTCAGCCAAAGATCTAGATGTAGACTATGATTCTCTTGCATTTAACCATGGCACAAACGTTCTCTGGCAATACCTTTTTTCCTCTGATGTTTCCCTATGACAGTGTTGGCAAACCTTTTTGGCACTGAGTGCTGAAACGGGAGCAGCACGTGCACGGGGGAGTACCAGAAACCAAAAGAGCAGCTCCCTGGTGCACACGCATGGGAGCACTGGAAACCAGAAGAGTACATGAGCGCCAGGAAGCTGAGCTTCTGGTTCCTGGTGTGCACACGTGTGCCATCATCTGGTCTTTCAGTTTCTCGCACGTATGCACATGCAATGACCAGCTGGCTGGCGTGCATGGGCACGCAGGAAACCAGAAATTCAGCTTCCTGGCATGCACATGCAAGCCAGGGAGCTGCTCTTCTGGTTTCCGGTGCTTCCGCACACGTGAAGACCAGCTGGCCAGCACGCATGTGTGTGCCAGAACCCAGAAGAGCAACGGGTGACAGCTGGCATGCTTAGAGAGATGGCTCTGTGTGCCACTTCCGGCACACATGCCACACTGCCCTGTGATGTTACCTTTATCTTGACTACAATCCATGAGTAAGACATATTTAAGGTGTCTTTTATCTAGGCATACTTCCCAGACTCCACAAGTCAGTTTTCCATATCTCTCAGAGATTCTGTTCAGAAATACAGAAAACCTTTTGCCATCATTTAATTTGGTTTGTACCCCAGATGTAGTACGTCTTTTCTTAGCTGTTTTGGCATTTGTGTTTCCTCTTTAACCCAAAAGCATCCATCACCCTTAAGATGTGTAATATCTGTTATGCTTCCCCACTCATTCCTCAGAGGTAAAGTCAGGTGATGAACAATGGGTGGGATTAGAAAAATGCTTATTGACTGGTCCAGGATGATGCAGGCATGCACCTCTCTCTAATCCAATCCAACTCCTCTGCTGATATTCTGCTTTGTTCTCCCCTAAGGAATTTGATACAGCAGTTCTGGGCAGTGGTCTATCACAATTACATGACGGTGCCAACTGCTTACCCAGCAGTATTATATGTAGTATTACAATGGAGTGATGGGACCAATCATTCCATATCTCCACCCTTTCCAGCACAGAAGTATCTGATATAAAAAAGGATGTGGGAAGGGAGAAGGATGCTAAATAAAAGTTTTGTTTCTCATTTAGTTCCCTTCATGACTCCAATCTTCTTTATTCAGCTTGGAAAGGCAGCACAAAAAGGAGCCCAGTGGTACAACACTTCTGAAATTATATCTTTCCTCTTCTTGCTGAAGTGCTGTAAGCACACTAGTGCTTCAGAGAAGGGGGTAAGAGGGTGACACCATAGCCCCATCCCTTCTCTACGTTCCTTGTGATGTCAAACACATGTCCCAAATAGGAGGATCTTGTGAGGCAACAGTGTGAATCTGCTGCACAATTAGTAGGTGTTTTTCCACTCAGCTAGTGATGTGAAGAAAGAAGGCACCAAAGCCACCATCCTTTTGCTTTCATGAGCTATACTCATAATCAGAATAATGCCATTAAACAGTGAATCAGAATAAGGATAAGCACTAGATTTTCTGCAAACAAATTGTACTTTTCTGTCAATGCAGGGATCTTCTGTATAGCATTTGAACTCAACACTGAGAAAGCTAAAGTCACCTACTTCACTAAACCGAAGTCATGCTTTACAAATCACAAACCTGGATTCATACAGCACATGGTTAAAGGCAAACACAGATTATGATTTTGTATAATGAACTCAGTCATATTATGCCAATCCATCCCAGGGCATGCTACTCTCCAAATAGTACCTCTGCAAATTTTCTCCTTGATTCTTTCATTTAATCAATGTCATACCTAAGCTAGGCAAGAATGCTGTTTGTTTTTGGCTTAATTAAATGTCTAAAAAACCATCCACTGTGGCTTATGAACAATTATTTCCTATATAGAGAAGCTTCCACATTAAGCCAAAAAGAAATCAGATTGTATTATGAATTAGTTTTACATGTCATGTTTTCATTGGAGCAAAAGAGATATATTCTATCTATAAACATCGAAAAGCCATCCAGGAAGCATTTTTATCTATTACTATCCGTACATGTCCTCTGCAATAATGAAAAGTGTGTATCACTGATGTTTAGCAAGAAACTAGCTTTAAAGCAGACTCAAAGAACTGATCAGAAAATAGGCACTTTGCCCTGGCTGGAATTTTCTTGCCTGTTGAACTTCTATTGCCATTTATCTTAAGACAGACAACTGAATGCTATTATCCTTGCTCTCCTTCTTTGGACTCTAGGAGGTCAGGATAGAAAACAGAAGTTTTTAATTTAAGTGTATCTATTTTTCTAGGACATGGAACTGCTGAGGTTTTCACTGATTCTCATTCAGTCCTGGCTAAATCCTATACGGTTTCTAAGCAGGATGTTTACAAACAGTCTTGTGTTTGGGACGTCAGACAGAGTCTACGAAAAACTCCAAGACTTGGAACAAGGTATCCAAGTTCTTATGAGGGTAAGCAATCCCTTCTAAGAAGCACTTTTTAAATACTGTCACAGATTGTGCTATCCCACCTGGCTAATGTTATGAAACTAGAGAAAGCTGACCTCTCTATTCCTAAAATCAGAACAATCCCAGGCATCAAAATTATTATCTTCCAATGAGAAAGCCTTGATATTATGATTTATTAACACTAGAAAAATATAGTCCTTGACTTATGGCCAGTCGCTTAGTGATCATTTGAGGGTACAATGGATCCCCAAAAAGATTCTTGATTCAAAGTTCCAATGGCTGTTCCCTCCCTGGTCACATGGCCACATTTTGGGCTCTTGGCAAACAGTCCTCATTTACATCTTGCCACATCCTGCTATTATAACATTTCTTGCTGGAAATTGGTATTTGCTTCCAGCTTCCAGAAAAAAAAAAAAAAAAACCTCCCCACACTAGGCTTTTTGGGGGTGGGGTGTTGCTTGGGCAATGGGTGTGCTTTTTGTATTTGCTTAACTGCCACAAAAAAAGTAAAATCAGGTTGGTCACCTGATGACCTATTTAATAACCAGCACGACTTGCAATCATAATTCTGGGCTCAATTACAGTCATAAATTGAAGACTACCTGTATCAAACTATAACACAAATGGGGCTATCGACAAAGAAAATTATATGATTTTCAGATTGTATATACTAGAAAGTATATGGATTTAAGGTATTCTTTAAGACCAAAAGAAAAATAAACCCCAAAATGAATTCACAAGGACCTGTGTTCAACCATCATGGAATTTGCAGAATGAGATTAGCTCTTCATAGTTATTGTAGTGTTTTTCCACTCAGTGTCTTCCAGACATATTTAACTCTCCCATTAATTTGCAACCAGCACAGCCCTTGGCCTCCTCTCCAGAACTCAAAAGCTGGTAAGCAATATGGAGCTCAGACTATATTCAGATGCTTTTCCAAGGTTGGGAAAAGTGGGAATTCTGTCACCCACTCATAGCTTTACCTCCATCCATGGACCATGGTGGAATGCAGTTCAGAGGGTCAATATGATGCAGCTACAGGCTTACTTTTATGTTCATGAAACAGAAAGTCACAAAATAAACCATAAAAACACAGTATGTCCCAATCCTCAAGTACTGAAAATATTATAAATGATATTGGATAAAATATATATTTCATTGTAACTATAAATAAGTCATTACATAAAATATATTAGAAATTATACATTATTATAAATTAACTCAATTTCCTAGCTTAAATACTTAACTCAGTAAATTTGAGTTAAGGAGGTACTGTAGGTGTGTTTGTGTGTGTGTGTGTGTGTGTGTGTGTGTGTGTGTGTGTGTGTGTGTGATTTTTTTTGAAGCAGAATGAGATTCTTAATGCTTTTGTACTACTCTTTTCACTTACAACATCTATTTCCAGGAGGTGCAGGATGGTACTTCCCAGAGCCTTCCGCTGCCTAGACCCACCTATGACAAGTTTGAATTCAATCTCCGGAGTGAAGTCGCTTTGCAGAAGAACTACAATCTCTTGTCCTGCTTCAAGAAAGACCTGCACAAAGTGGAGACCTTCCTGCGAGTGATGAAATGCCGTCGTTTTAGAGAAATCAGCTGTGTCCCCTAAAGGCACAAAAGACCCACCTCTCCATTCCAATTTTCCTATGAAGTTTCCTAGAACCTGGGAAAGAGAATGGGCTATTACTGTGCCAACTGCCTACATGCCTGAGTCAAGTAAAAAGCAACCTATTGCATTTCAAAGCCCTGCTATTTGTGAAGTCTCTCAATGCTCCTTGATATCTGTGCAAAAATAAATGCTATTTTGCTGCTGAAAGAATTAGTGTTATAAGTTGACTGGCTCAATTAGATCTCGCTCTTAAATGATAAAGAATACAACCTTAAAGGTATTGACCTCATTTTACACAAGATCACAAACTTGCTGTCAGAACAGCCATCCTGCTCAAAACAAGGTATCTCCAAACCTGTTTATAAATGTGATTTTCCTTCAGTTTAATTCCTATACAATTAAGGCAAGCAAATCCCAAAAAAAACTACACAAAGAAGCCTCTAAAAGACCCCATTCAAATAATCTTATTAATTTATAATATTTTTTTTTTAATAATCGCAATAGCACTTAGACTTATAAATTACTTCATAATGCTCTCTGTAAGTGGTTTACAGAGTGAGCATATTGCCCCCAACATTCTGGGTTCTCATTTTACTATCCTCAGAAGAAGGGGTGGATTCTATTTACCTTTACTACTGGTTTGTAATGGGATCGCGCGCGCGCCGACCTTCTGCGCATGCTTATTAACCCATGTTTATTATTACAAATAATTCAAGGCAGTGAACATATTGAACACATCTTCATTTAGTAGTATAGGTTGTAGGGCTTACCTTTTCAGAGGTTTTGCCAGCATATAAGGAACAAAAAGGAAAAGGCCAGAGTATAGCGGAGTTTAATGTATGGCTAAAGGAGTGGTGTAAAAGGGAAGGCTTTGGTTATATTAGTCATGATATCTGAAGCTGGTCCAATGAAAAACTGTACAAAAGAGATGGTTTGCATCCATCAAAGAAAAGGACTGAGTTACTTGGCATTAAATTCACAGATTTTTTTGATAAACATTTAAACTAAACAGTGGGGACAGAGAATTAATTGATACAAAACATTCTGTCCCCAACAATCTAAAATTAATAGGATTATCAGTACATGTAACATAGATATTTGTGTGGGTAAGAATATCAACCTTGCTGTTAAGCAAAATCAAGTGTTTAATAGTGAGTGCCATACCATGTGCACTAATCAAACAGGTGGTAAGGAAGGAGGGGAAGTCAGGCACAATACAGGTTTATAGAAAGTAAACACAGGGTCAGTCAAAATGGATTCAAATGTCTACACACCAATGCACAGAGTATGAAGAATAAATAGGGTGAATTAGAAATTCAAGTAAATGAGGGCAGATATGATATTGTTGCCATTATGGAAACTTGGTGGGTTGAAACCCACAAATGGAACATATAGCTAGAGGTATTTAAATTGTTTAAAAGAAATAGACCAAATGAAAGAGGAGGTAGAGTTGTACTATATATAAGAAATAACTACATCTCTACAGAAATAGAGCACAACAATGATAAAAACTGCCTTGAATGCATTTGGGTCAATATTAAAGGGGGGGGGGGAATGACATTACCATAGATGTATACTATAGACCACTCAACCAAACAGACGAAAGAGATGGACTTTTTGTTAATCAGTTAACTAAGGTATGTAGGAAACACATCATAAAAGTAATGAGGGATTTTAACTGCCCTGACATCAACTGGAAGACAAAAGCCACACCAAGTAGAACATCCAACAGGTTCCTGACAAACCTAGCAGACAACTTTGTTTCCCAAAAAGTAGAGAAGGGAACAATGTGATCAGACATATTGGACTTAATTCTCACTAACAGAGATGAAATGATAGGTGCTGAACCTACAAGAACCTCGGGGAGGAGTGATCATGCAATATTAAAATTCAACATTATGCAAACACAAGCAATAGAACAAAGTCAAACTAGAGTCTTGGACTTTAAGAAACCTAATTTCAATAAACTTAGAGAGACTTTGGGAACGATTCCATGGATGAGAATCCTCAAGGGGAAAACAACTCAAGAAGCTTGGGAAATTTTGAAAATTGAGATTATAAAAGCTCTGTCTAGCACACTACCAATGAAGAAGAAAAACAACCGTTTCAAAAGAAACCAGCATGGCTGCATAAAGAACTCCTGATAAATTGAAAGACAAAAAGAACAAGTATAAAAAGTGGAAAGAGGGACATATAACTAAGGCAGAATATCAGCAAATATGTTCTGTTCTAAGTACAAATATGAGACTCATCCTATTTTCCATACAGCAACAACCTTGGGAGGTGGGTTGGGCTAAGAGAGAGAAACTGGCCCAAAATCACCCTGCTGGCTTTCATAGCTAAAGCAGGATTTGAACTCTCTGTTTCCTGGTTTCTAGCCTGATGCCACTAAACCAAACTCACTCTATATGAAACAAAACAAAATTAAAGCATTTAAAATATTTAAAATTAAAATTGTAATTAAAACATTTAAAACAAATGTCCCTAAGATGTAGTAGTGTTATTGAGGCAAAACCGTATTTATATAGCAAAAGTCACCTAGTTAGAATACCTACTCTGTCAAATGTACACTTCATTTCTTGAATAAATTACAAGTAGATAGCTTTAAGACTACATGTTGTATGAACTTAGTCGTGTCATTTGTAATCCATAGGACTGATGAACCCAGTCAATCATGGCTTATTTCATAAGCAGCTACCATAGTTCATAAACTCAGAAATAGCATAAAAATTCTCTAATCTTTTAATTATGTACACTAGTCACCCTAAACTGTGTTGCTCAACAAATTGAAATTGGCTTAAGTAAAAGATCTGTGATTTATAACTGCAATGACTTGATTCAGCCAACAGATGGCTTAATGATCCATAGTTGATGATTTGCCTTACAGCTATTTGTTTACTGACTGAAGTTACATGTCCCTCGTACTACAAAATATTTGCCAGAAAAAAGTGATTTATGACTGGTTTTCCCACTTAGGACTGTTGCAGCATTCCCATGGTCAAATGATCAGAATTCGGATGCTTGGCAAGTAGACCACATTTAAGAGGGTTGCAGTGTCTAGAGGTCATGGGATTCCCTTTTATGATCTTTGGACAAGCAAAGTCAATGAAGAAGCCAGATTCACTTAACAACTGTGTTAGAAATTAGAACTGCAGTTATTCATTTAACAACTATGTTAAAGAAAGGTTTTCTTGCCAACAACTATGGCAAGAAAGGTTGTAAAATGAGGCAAAACTCGCTTAACAACTGTCACACCAACAACAAAAATGTTGGGCTCAATTATATTCTTAAGTCAAATGTTTCCCAGAAAATAAGGCCTAACCAGAAAATAAGCCCTAGCCTGATTTTTAGGTGTGCTCCTAATATAAGCCCTACCCCAAATAAGCCTCAGTTAAGATCATCATCAGCCGGGGGACGTGACCAGCACCGGAGGTGGTGAGTGTGCAGAGGCCAATGGTGTCTGGCAGCAGCTGCAGCCCACAGAGTGCAGGTGAATTGATTACCTGTGCAAGCAGCAGGTGGAGACAGAGGTGGGGGGAGGCATGTGATCCAGCTGCACCACTCGGGCTGTGGGAAAGCCGAGAGTTGGTGAGCTGGAGCGGGCGAGGAGCCATGGGAGGCTCATCTTTGCACAGCAGCAGCACTGGCAACACAGACGATGACAGAGGCGATCTGGACACACATGCAGGCCACAGAAAAGCCTAGAATCAGTGGGCTGGAGTGGGTGGTCGTCCATGGCGATCTTCACATCTCTTGGCTTGCCTTCAACCCATTTGGATTGCCTGTCTCCCCCCCCCCCCCGTGCCTCTGCCTCTGTCTGCTGCTGGCGCTGTCAAGCGAAGATGTGCCTCCCATGGCCGACCACCCGCTCCAGCCCATCAATTGTCAGCTTTCCCACAGCCCATGCAGCATATCCGATTGCATGCCTCCCCCCGCCCCCTGCAGCTCTGCCTCTGTCTGCTGCTTGCACAGGTAATCAATTCACCTGCACTGCACGGGCTGCACAGCTCCAGAGTGCACTGACCAAGGGTTGGTGGGCTGCACTGCTGCCGGACATTATCAGCCCCCATGCGTTCATCACCTCTTATGGCATATCAGAGGGTGGAGCACCCAGCCAGGCTGATCACACTGATCTCATGTTTCCCCAAAAATAATATCCTAATGTGTCTTGTGGAGCAAAAAAAAATAAAAATAAGACCAGGTCTTATTTTGGGGGGAACATGGTACTTGCATACCAAAGCACACTGGAAATCATCAACGAGCAGGAAACAGAGTCACTACTACAGATTTGCCCAGCAAAGCAAGAATTAGCAATCTTCAATTTGCCTCCTGTCCAAGCCTAATCAACTTTCATGAAAATTGTGACTCCTATTTGCTCACAACCCACAATCTGAGACCCTTTGGCTCTTCCACAAAGATTGCCTTTTCTAATAGATTATTTTGTGTGTTTGACTTTCTTCCCTCCAGCACACTCTGTATCTTACCTTCTCTGCCTTTGGACTGCTCCATTCTGGAAGACTCCACAGAAATGCTCCAGTAGCTGGCCCTGGCTATCTTGCCTTTTGTTAAATCGTGGGCGATTGAAGGAAGACTTGAAACAATGTAACTGTAACTCTTTTATTTAACTCCAGAAACAGCAATGGCAATTCAAACCCCGGGCAACCCTTTATATAGGAAGGGGCTGTCCCCGGCTGCAACCACTGCCGTGCCTTCTAATTTCCCGCTCTCAGGACTAATTCCTGATTGGCTCATTTGAACTGTACTTGATATCTAACACTCCTCCCCCCTAGTTCAGTGTCTGCCCGTCCGGGGTCTCTATGCTACGTAGTCGCGTAAGTAGGCGGGTCGCTTGGAGGTTCGACTGGACCTGCGCAGTTCAGTCGTTCTGGTGCCTTTGGGTTGAGAGGTTGAGGTCCGCTGCTCCCTCTGTGTGGGCTCCGGAACTCTCTCGAACTCGGTCTCCGGCGTGGATTCGCCTCCTTCTCCCACTTTACTTGGCTGTCCCCGCCGGCTCCTTTCGGCGCCTGTCGCCTCCTCCGTGGACTCAGGTACGTGCTCGCTGTTATCTTCTTCCGGGCTGGTGTTAGGCGTGTCCAGAACTGGCGTTTGTGTATTGGCCCGCTCTGGTACCGCTTGCGTGTCTTTTCCTTCCCCCTGGTTGTTGTGCTGGGTTTCCCTCTCGACTCTCGTTAATCTTCCCCTGAGCTGGT